AGTGTATCTCTTCAGCGTCTTCTTTCAGGAGACTTTCGCGGAGCCTATTTTCACATGTGGGTCAGCTTGAGGTATCAACTTGGATACCAACATTTGAAAGGCCTAATTGTAGATTTAAGCCTTTGTACATGAGTGTCCAGAAATTAGGAACCCTTTCTGGGGGTGCCTCTCCTGCATCTTAATGTACTCAGTGATACTGTCACGCATCTGTTGCGAAAAAGTATAATCCTGCGGCGTCTTCTTTTGCAAAACTTTCGCGAGTCCTTTAAACCATCTGAAATGGTCGCCCGAGTATAACCAGAAGACACGGACCTTTAGAACAACCCTCATGCACTTTCCAAGTTTGCGTCTTCTTTCCCATCTGGTTCTCCATGACTTCGGGTAATACCCCTCAACCCTAAACCCTCAAACCCCTTAAAGATTTGTAGGCTGGAGGGATGCGAGGTGTGATGCAAATTATTTGAAAACTCCAGGTAGCAATGTACCCCGAATTAGTGGTCATGACCCATAACTGTAGCAGCATTTGGGCTTACAGGTAGGGTTTGTGGTTTAGATTTTTTGCCACGAGGGAGTTGCGCAGTAGAACGTGTGGAGAACCTGCATCACTCCGTCCGTGACCTCTGCATCGGGCTTAAAGCCTGAAATCTGAAACCTCAGCTTAGATTCCAAACCCGAAATACATTCCTTCACCCCAAGCGCCGCAAAAGAATCCCAAATCCAATCCTACACCCCGAACTTTACTACTTGGAACAGGCTTTGGGGTGCTGTCTTGCTACAAGGATTATATGGGGATGATGCCTAGGCCTTGTTGCTCAGCCCTCCACATTGCCCCCTTGAAGTTCCTGAACCCTAGACCCTGAACGCTCTAGCTATGAACCCTGCAGCATTTCAGGCCTCAGTCGCTTGAGCATGCCACGCATTCCTGTCGGGGCATCTGCATCCGACAGCTTGAAGTGATCTCTGAAGACCTGGCTTTGGGAATCACAACGTTGCGGGCATAGAAAAAGGTTGTTGGGGTCTAGGAATAACTGCAGTAGGGACCTTGGGGTACCTGAAGAGGATTCTATACCGATGCTTGGGAATCTTCTAAACTTGCCTACTCGTCAGTCAGGTCTCCCCCACAACTCGGGCAGACGCGAACCCCTCATCCTGAGCCCTCATTTTACAGATGGAGACTCTGATCGTATCGACACTGGTATGTGGTAAGAAAAGAGAATTGTACTTGTAATAACAGTGACTGGCATATGATTTGACAGTCGCTGAGACGGCCTATAGCTGTGTACTTACATGTAAGTCTTAAGGCATGATGGTATGCCTATTTAAACAAGCAGAGTACCTCCTTGATGTTGGTCCACCGAGAGAAGAGTAGCTCCTGCAGGGTGAAGTCCACGGCGCCTCCATCATTCAGAGTTTTGGGATCAGGGTTTGAAAGTTTCGGGTTTTGGGGCTACAGTGCTTCAAAGCGTATGGCTCACGGCTTCAGCTTCAGAGCGTGAATTTCAGGAGAATGGAGCTAAAAATAAAGTCTCTGGTCATGGCTCATTGACATGCATGGTGCATAAACAGCCGGCATCTAGGCCTATAGGAATTCACCGCGACACGGCTCAATTCGGCGTGTATCTGGCTCGCACCTGTTCCTGCTGTTGTTCACCAATTGTTCTTCTGCTATCGCAATCTTCCATAGCTAACCAAAAATACACCGATCTCCCAAACAAACCTTAAGCCCACACCCAGACTCGACAACGATCAAGCATTACAGCCCACAGCCAACACCCTCCCCGTGGATAGCACAAGATCGAAGAACAGGCGAGGCTTTGGAGTGTGGAGGCCTGGGAACGGCTTGTTGCACTGTCGCGGAATGGCCGTCTTGACCTCTTCTCGGGGGCTTCTCTTCTGAGCCATTTTGAAAAATATATTCTAACCAGCATGTTGCTAATTATTGGCCAGGGGAATGGCGGCCTTGCTGTTGTCTCCGCGTGAGGTGCGAGGAAGTCAGGAGTATTGCTACCGGGCTCGACAATGCAGGAATTCCAGGATAAGTCAATGGTCAAATGTAAGCTCTCTGCGCCTATTAAGCGCTGTATCAAACGAGTTTGCACCCGTACACACCCCCAAAATAACAGGCTTCTCACTGAAAAGCGAGTATGTAAGAAAAGCTGGACTACAAGGTTGAACAGCTGGTCCTGCCAGCTGCAACACTTTGTTTCTTGACCCCTGATCTCGCTGGGCCAGATTTGTCTCCAGTACCGAGGGGTTAACGCGACAGAATCATACGCTATCTTCGCGCCTGACTGATCCCAGCAGGCACTGTTCCCACGACTTCTTGCTTTTGGTGGTAGATACGTCCGGCGTTGAAAACAAGCAGGTTCTGGAATGGCTAGAATGTACGGATGCGATGTCCTCATGCCAAGAGGCACTGACAGACTTGCAGCATAAGGTTCGACTCTTGCACGTCTTCAAGGACTGTAAGCAGTCACAAATATCCGAGATGTTGCAGGTCTTCATGCACTGCTCCGTAGCTTCAGTCTGGCAGTTTCATGCACCAACTGACTTCTACGAGGTATTACGAGGGAGGCCAAGCAGCATCCCAATTTCCGCAGGTGACGAAGAGGAAGGAATCTTTCCTGTCACAGGCAGCTGTCTGCATACTTGCAGTGTGAGACTTTGGATATGGACCCTGTCGACCTTCAGGGGTTTATCATTATTACATTGCAATTTCCGGGCATGGTTATCTTATGGCATCAGGCCCTGAACTCCCTATTACCCTCCCTCCACAGCGCTAAAGCATCGTGAATGCTTGAGCTGGCAGGTTGCGCCTCAACTCCTCACCGGGAGCCAGTTTTAGGAGGTCGCGAAGCCACTGATGCATGGCATCCACTACCTCCAAACTTCTTCTGAGAATCATTCTTGACTTGTTCAGCGGAATACATCATTCTCAGCGGCCTGAATCCTAACCCCTTGTCATAAACAAAGGGAAGTCCTTCAGCGCCTCTCTGGACGTGAGCTGGCCAGGGTTTATATAGGTTACAGTGTGGCGGGCACTGGACGTTCAAGCTCTTTAGCCTTGCAAGCAGTCCACCAAGCACTTTGTTCCAAAGGGACCCTCAACACCCGGGTCTGCGGAGCTCAGCAATCATGCTGACCGCTTCCGGTTTCCTCGAGGTTCTGGCATATTTGCCGCAGGGTGAATGTTCTGTCATATGAGGTTGTCCTGAGTCGCGATTAGTTTTTATCCTGTTGCTTGGGCTTAATAAGTAAAGGCCACTAAGCCAAATCCTAAACCACTCGAGGAAGAATGCTTCGCCTGCCCAGAATGTGAAGAGGACGGCTTCTGGGTGGGGAACTTTGCGCACATCAGCCAGCAGCAAGAGTAAGGAGACCGTGTCTCGGCGAAAGGGGGTTTAAGCAGGTACCATTGAATTGGGCTTTCACCAGGAATCGTATGTATATTCAAAGCCCGCCTCAGGGAAAGGGACAGAGTTCGCCCCCTCGTTGAAGCAGTTAGGGTGGAAACGGTTGCGCATTGAGGATGCCTGCAGCCAGGAAAAAATCGACTCTAAGCCTTACTTGTGCCATGAGGTAGTACAGCATGCAGGACTACAGTGGTGTAGATTACATTCAATTCCACGTTATGATTCCTGCCACAGAAGCTCTGTGCGTGGAAAAGTCAAGCAATGGTGCATTGATGATTCAAACCCTTATTGGCAAGGGAGAGGAGAGGGAAAAAAAGCGGTGCAGGTTCAAATACCCATGACTCTGAACATCTGTGAGAAAGAAAAGGCACGGCACGACTACTGATCGGCTGTCCGCTTATGCAGCATCTAGGGGAGTGAATTTGGATCAGTATTTGCATACCAGAAAACATGGAGAGACGCTCCCTGAGGCCCCTTCATTGATTACCAGTAAATCCACTACATGGATATGTTCGGCAGCCATGCCCATTTGTTCTCTGATGGACCCTGTCCTTTCCAAAGAGACGGACTGTCTCCAAGCACGACAAGTCAACACTGAGTCCCCCGTCTCGCACCTTCAGATCTTGCACTGGCTTCCAAACTTCTACAAAAAACAGCCCTGCGTTCACGAGGTGGTCTAGGAAACATGCCACCGTCACATCAGTAGAACCTGGATAAGTCGGCACAGGTCAAATCTGTCTGCATGGGCTATCTCTGCCAAGACAAACAAGCCGCAGTCCCTTGAGCACGTTTAGATTGGGAACTCGCAGGTCTAGGCAACAAATAGTCAGTCTTGCCTCACGCACCCAGAAACCCGGCCGAGCGAATCGGTGGAAGCGACCAAGTTCAGTCCTGGCATTGCTGGATTGTTTTTCTCGGACCTTTTTCCTCTCAAGGAATGCTTGGATTTAGGGCTCTGGGTTTGAGGCTATTAACTGCCTTGGTCGAAAAACTTAGGCTGTGGAGCTCTGGCTTCGGAGCTCGGGTGAGCCCTACAGTCCCCCTCCTGACCCATAGAGCCCAAGGCCAACAAAGCCAGGGGAGAGTCTGGCCCGATAAGAGGCGACTGACTTTCCTTGCGGAGTCAAAACAGAAGCGGAGTTTAGGGCGAAGGAAATGTGTAGACAAGCTTTAGCAGTTGAGTCGAGGTCGGTCATCATTGAACATGAGACGGGCCAAGTCAACCACGATCTAGATGAGCTGGAACTTTGTGCGGCCTCGCTCAGTGTGCGACTTCACCATCCTCAACCCCTGCACTCAACAGCACTGAATATCCCAGCGTTGCGAACTCTGAGACTCAAAGCTAAGCACATCACTCTTGGAGCTAGACCGAACCCCCACCCAAGCAGGAAGCATGGTGTTTCTTGAAAATATCTGCTGAATGCTAGTGGGGCTTCGTACCATCTTCTTCTTCAAGGTCAATAAGGTACAGATGACTTTCACCTGCTCCCTCGACCCCTCAACAATAAAACAAGCATCAGGCTCAATGCAGCCAAGTTATGAAGCCCTTTGGGCTACAAATATGTACCTAGACCCCCTGAACCCGAAACCTGATTCCACATGAGTGCTCTGACCCCGCCTCGCAATCTCTAAATTGGAACGCTATCATTTTTGTTGATATTTGAACCCTTTGGGCAATCGTGATTTCACGCACGCAGTCCCCGTGGTAGGGCACATGGAAAGGACTGGGACCTGGCTGCCAAGTTGCTAAGTTGCTTTGAACTAAGTAGATTGGGTTTGAAAAATAGAGATCTCTTTGAAGGGGGTCAGAAAGGTTGTACAGGGATACATGGCTGGTGCTTTTGTGGCGTCTTAACCATGGAGATGCGGCTTCGATTTGTCTAAAGGAAGGAGGTAAAAGATGGCGGTCCTGTAGAAAAGCAAGTGTACCGGACTAAGCCGTTGTGATTTTAGGATTTGGGTTTGGACCTTAGCTTGGGCCTTTCGTAGAAACGTGAGACATCTTGGAATTTGGTTCCTGGTTGGGATCCGACTGCTGATCGCCCGCCTTCTTGAAATGTGAAATTCTTGCCTCTGGGTCCCCAGGGGCAGGAAAATGGAGCGCAAAAAGAGATATACTGACCGTATTCTACGTGGATACAACATGCTCACAAGAATGTTGGTAACAGTACTGACAGCAATAATGGGGAGTGCAAGAATTCTTGCCTATTGCGCACCGCGTGCAGTAGAAATCGTTAGGGTACTGCCCCACCCTGTAACAATCTATACTCGGGGCCACATTAAGGGCGATACATAACAATATTCTCAATGTTATCCAACTGATACAGCACTCCTGAGAGCCTTACCTAGGTATGCGTTCTATAGAGGCCTGACTGCACGATTATCTCAGAGTTTTGGGATGCAACATACTCTGATGGCATACGGAGAATAGGGGAGAATATTCTAGTTACGCAGGCCCATATATCTGGAGCTCTTGTCCAGACCAAGGAAAGGTGAAGAGAGTGAGAGTTGAGGCTGCACTTCACAGCTTGTGGGAGATTATCTGGGGTGTTAGATCGGCATTGCGCATTAAGTTTGAGACCATCCGGCGCCCCCTACACAACAGATCGTGAAAACCAGACTTGCAATACCTCGCGGCAACAGTGGAGGCATGCAATTACATAATCACCTCCCCGCGAAGGACATCTAACCCCACCAACAGATATTCCCAGCATGATATGGATATGAATTAAGGAGGTACTTGTCATTTGTGCCACCGCACCCTCGTGGGTTTTGAGCACATGCTCCGAAACCTTTCCAGCTATCCGCGTCAAGCTGCCAAGTGAGACTAGCGCAGAAAAGTATGGCAAAAAATCAGTAGAATATTTTGATCATAATGCTGATCCACTCCCCTGCTATTGCTGAAGCACCAGTGTGATTCACGTCTCGGACTTCTCACATCTGGCGTCGCACCTCAATGATTTCATCTTCACCATCGCGGCCATCCTGGGGATTAGCAATGTTGCAGTTTGGGTTCAGAGTTTAGGGTTGCACGAAGCGCGCGATCCGGAGGAACCGTAAACATAACTCATGGGACCAGCCCAAAACGGCTTATAGTCGAGACGGTGGGGTTTAGAGTCGAGGGTTTAGGGGCTTCGGATTTACGATGTTGCGCTAAGCTCGTGCCCAGGGTCCTGGTTTCCTCCGCCCTCCAAGTCCAGGACTAGCAGTATCGGCCTGTCAGGAATTTCAGAGGTCAAAATGTGGGCTTATGCTTTGATGTGCTTTGTGCTGCTCGCGATTGTGCATCGACGCACGGCCGAGCGTGAGGCAAAGATCCTTCAGCGACATTTACCATCCAAGTTGCAACTCCAGTGCTGCAGGGTGCTAGTGGAGACCCATATTATACTTTGCGCTCCTGCAAGGCTTCAGGTGAGTTGAGGTCCCCCGAAGTATGATACATCTCGCGATAACTGCAGGCCGAACCCGAGCTACGACTCGTAATTGGAAAGGCAACCTGCTGGGTTCGTTCGTGCATCACAAGCCCATCATGCACCATGCATTGCTCATCCTCCAATGAAACTACGTTCGTGGAAGACATCTTGCATGACTATACCTACCGGCTGCATCTACGAGGACTTTGGGAACCCTAGAATAGGACGCAGGATTCCCTACATCGAGCAACCAAGCACGTGTCCCCTTCGTGGGCCTCTTGGCCTCAACGGCCACGGCTGGGCCAGCTCCTATCCAGTCGGCCTCTCGTTGCCATCTCAACAGAGCAGGGTAGAACTAGAAGGTAACTAGCGAAACAGAAGTGAAAAGACAGGTCGACGTTGCAGACATGGGCTCACTGGCTCTGACTCTGACAACTGCGCTTAAGCCCTGAGCCACAAACCCGTGCACGTGCCTCGGCTTTCAAGGCCGCCTCGGAGCTGTGTAGCCTGGGATCACAAGAATCATCACAGCTCATGATCCTCTGAGTTAGGTTTCAGAGCTTAGGTTTTTGGGTTTAGGGTTTTGGTTTTGAAGGCGGCTCAGGGTAAAAGAAGTGATGACAAATTCCAAGAACATGAGACCCCAAAAATGAAGCCGTTGTGACGTTCAACGAACTAAGAATAGGCGAGGCTCGCTTTTTCATTGCTACGACGACAGACAGACCTCTTTCTACATCTGGAACCCCTGGGCCTTCCCCACTCAATTCTTGTTGGGCAGAACCAAGAAAGGACCGATGATTTGCTATTATCCTCACACCTCACCCTTCATACCCAAATATTGAACCTCTGTTTCTCTCAGTCCGTGGCCCATTCCGGCAGGCTCCAAACTCGTCTGCGCGATTGCGGCAGAATCCTGCTGCATACCTTTGATGTGTCGGTGCTGCAGGTGGGAGTCGGGGAATGACTATAGGTACCACTACAAGGAATCTAAAAAGGATGGGCATGTTGGATAGCAGTGTGGGTTGAGAGCTAACCGCGCTCTGCTGTCGTTAGGGCTTCTGCACATTGCCTCATGGCGCTAGCATGCCTGTGAACGTCCCGCAAATGAGGTACGAAACCCTAAACCCTGCTTTGTCCCCTACTTCTAGAGCACGCACCCTCACACCTTCAACATGAAGAATTACGAGCACTTTGAACCTGAACCCTATGCAGGTAAAATGGGCCACACCTGACACTCCTGACTCTTACCTTTGGGACCACATCGGTACATAGGGATTATTGACGGGGTATGACGGTCCTCAGAGAGGATGACATGCGGGGCTCTTTGAGAAGCAACAAAGCCCACAAACAAATAACATCACCTTCAGCTGCGTGGTTCGGAACGCTGGACAATGGTGCCACTTTGAACGACACCTACAATGCAGCTCTACAAAAGCAGCCAACTCCGCTAGGTCTCCACTTGCAAATGCCATCCTGGAAGCCTGCACCTTGGCTGCAGGGCTGGCTGCGGCTGGCTTGGGGCTTCGAAACCTTGAAGTTCGACCCTTCAAGGGAATCGGGGGTTCCCCTCAAAATTCCACGGGCAGGAGCGTAGAGCTTCAATAGTTGGAGTCAGGTTCGGGGTGCGTAGCTGATATGACAACTGCACCAAGCTCATAAGTGGGGTACACTCAACACGTTCTAGTCTTCCACAAGGTTGTGCAAACCTCACATCTTCCATCCAGCTACACACGAGATTGTAACCATCGACAACAGATGCTGAAGCCTGCCCCAAGATTCCAAATAATTACATGAAGGCTCTGCACTGCAACCCTGACGCATATTCCAATTATTGTAGACTTACAAGTACTTTCAAGCCCGCAGTAGACCGATGAGGTGTACAGCTGGTTGCAGACGCAACCCCAAAGCCGATATACTGAATCTGGCTTCTGCTTCACTTACTGGTGCGGGAGGCGCGAATCTGCGCACCGCTGCAAGGGTGCATATTGGTCTTATGAGGATCATTATTAAATGGATCATTATGGGGATCCACTCCCCACAAACCCATCACGCATCAGCAAGGTTCAGAGTTCAGGCTATCTTCTGTTGTGCATTTGTTGTGGTATAAATGTCTGCCGATCTGGTAACCCTGAACGGCCAACACCCTAATCCCTGCCGGGTTTCTGTGCCGACACACTAAGGACAAACTTGTCCCTTCTGTCCAGACCCTCCTGCTCCAACCAAGCTAAACCCTGGAACCTGAACCCGCATGCGGCTGAGTTGCGACCCCCAGCCCCTTGCGAGGTCAGGTCAGACGACAAGTTGGCTGGCGTCCCTTTTCCTAAGGAGGAAGGTCCACGTACCCAAATAAAAGAATTCAGGTTTAGGGTTTAGGGTCCAAGTCATCAAGCATCAGGTATCGAGGCCGTCAAGCATCTGTCTAGGAACCTGCTTGGGCCGAAGGCATACTCTGTCTTTACTTGGCCTCTTCAGGTTAGCATAGGGCGCGAGATGAGGCTTGGAGCTTATATGTAGTGTCCAAGGCCGTGCCGCGACGCTGTGGTGGCAAAGGCTGAGACTCGCACGCTGGCCCTTTCCTTTTCCCTTGCCACGTCGTCCCTGCCAACAACTGAAGAGAAGTGAGGCGATGGAGGTATGCAGTTCTAATCCCATACCCTAAACCTTGTCCGAACCCGAACTCTAAAATGCTTGTTTTTGAGCTTGAAGAAGTCGAAAACAAGCTTCTTAGACGAGGAGGATAACCGGGGTCAAGGACTTAGGCCCGGGCTTCGGGATTTCCAGTCCGTTATTTGAATCTTGCAAGCTTCAAATCTCAGGAAGAGTCTCAAAGACCTGTCAGCCTCAACCCCAAGCACCTAAACGCCGAAGCCGAGACCTCCCGAAACAGACCTGGCCTGGTTCTGGCTGTGCTCCGCAATGGTTTGCTGGAGCAGCTCTTTGGCCTCTGAGGTTTATTTGTGGTGAGGGGGAGGCACCTGCAAGCTACAAGCTTTGCGGAACGGCTGCAGATATTACATGCAAAACATAAGAAACCGATCCAGCGAGAAGAAGCTCATTACTCTAAGGTGAGAGGATGTTCTGATTCTGCCACACCCTAAACCCACTGAACCCCAAAACGTGGAAGTATGGACTCAGACTCGTCCCCACCTTGGCGACGGCTTCGGCCGGCCCACTGATGAGGCAGGTACGTGACAGCGTGAGAGAGAGGAATCCTAGGCTGAGGGGTTGAGGGGTTGCAAAGGGATGTTGCATAATGAAGGAACCCACAAGGCGAGCGTTGCCCGGATGGCTGTGCATAATCAG